ACACAGAGACCAACACACACACAACAACAACCGCCATTCGACACTAAGTGGCGGTGACGTCAGCACGACGCTTGTGCCAGGCTATGTGCACGTTGAGGCCACGTGAAGTGTCGAACGCCTGCTGGCAGGAGGTCATGGGACAGATCCAGGTACCACGGGTCGACTGACTGAGATGACTGGCTGATGCACCACCTGTGCCCCCTACTGTGCCAACTTGCTGTGCTTTAGCCACCCGGCGCTCCACTTGTTGTTGTGAGCGTCGCTCCTCTGCCCTCCGTTGTTGTTGGAGGGCGACTGCCTCCAACTGTCCAGTAGCGTCCTTCACGAACATCCTCCACAGAGGCCAATCTTGACACTGCTGGTACCAGTCATCGGCAAGTCCACTCAGCTCCACATCCTCCTATACCACATCACTCCATTTCGTCTCTAGCCCGTGCCGCACCCGTTTAGCCCCCTCTATCCGGCCGAACAAAAGCTGTTTAAGAATGCGGTGGCTGGGCATGCGGACGACATGACCCAGCCAACGCAGCCTTGCCTGCCGAAAGAGCTCACTGATGGGACTTTGTCCAGATCTTTCAAGGATTTGTGAGCTCCTCACACAATCCAACCTGGTTAAACCCAGAATGAATCGTAGGCAGGACAGCCGAAATGTTTCTAACCAGAAAAGATTTTCCATTAGCGGGGTCCACGTTTAGCAAGCGTAGAGAAGGGAGGGAATGACCGTGGCCCAGAAGACCTGAAGCTTCGTGCGGAGCGACAGACCAGGTAGCTTCCACACAGCGTTATGTAACCGATGAAAAGATATTGCCGCACGACTGATTCGGAGTGAGACCTCTGCTGTCAAACCGGAGCCGATCATGAGCACACTGCCCAGGTATGGGAAACTCTCCATTCTCTCCACAACTGCCCCATCACCAATTGGGAGTTGTGGGGGTAGAGTGTCCAATGGTTCAAAATACCCAGGCAGGTGCTTAGTTTTGGTGGGGCTGATGGTAAGGCCCCATCTCTTAGTGGCACGCTCCAGGTTCAGCAGCAGCGCCTCCAACTCCTCCGAGTGAGCAGCAATTACAAGATCATCGGCATACATAACGTGGTTTACCAATAAGGAGCCATCCCTTGACCGCATCCGGGCATCGATCAGCCTCCCATTGTATCTGTACCAGATGGAAATTCCCCCGGTACAGCCATCGAAGGCTTCCCGAACTACGTGGTCGAAAAATATGTTAAATAATGTGGGAGCCAGAGGACATCCCTGTCACACTCCAATGGCTCCGACTCCCAGCCACGTAGTTTTACCCGGGCCCACGCACCATCATGAAGGTCCATAATGATTGTGAGCAGAGGGTCAGGGACTCCGAAAGCATGAAGAATGACCCAGAGCCCAGGCCTACTGATGGTATCATACACCTTGACCAAGTCAATAAAGCAGAGATGTAGGTTTTGTTGGAATTCCCTACACCTCTGCTGTAGCAGACGGACAGAAAATATGGCATCTGTGCTGGACCGCCCTTTCCTGAAACCGCATTGTGGCTCCGCAAGGCTCTCCTCAGCGTCCCTGCAAGGCGATGTTGAATAATCCTTGCCAGGACCATTCCCGACACACTGAGGAGGGAGATACCCCTGTACTTTAACAATCCATGCGGAATCTGTCCAGTGGTCCAGACTGTTGTTATAATGTCATGTAGGGCAGTCTGTGCACAAACGCCACCCTCCCTCAGCATTTCACTTTGGAGATCATCTCTGCCCGGTGCCTTTCCTGGTCTCAGTCTCTGGATCGCCTTCAGTATTTCCTCAACAGCTGGCACCTCAGCCAGCCACTCACAGGGGGTGACTTCTTCTTCCAATATTTGAGACACCGCAGCCTCAACAGGGTCATCCCCACTTTGTCCACGATGTTTTCCAGGCTGAGGAGTTTTTTCTTCCCTAGAACATCACAGAAATACTCAGAAAATCTGTAAACCTGTTCCTGGGGGTCGGAGATTGGATCACCATTCTTTCCCCTAATGATGGTAATAGGTGTGGAGCTGCAAGTTACTTTTTAGATGGCGTTAAACAGCGATTTGTGATCGCGGGCCATTGAGGCAGACTCCATGTCCTCAGCAACCCGCGACCACCAACCATCCTTGCAGCACCTCACGGCTCTCCGAACCTCTGAGCGAAGGCTGCGGTAAGCCTCCTCATTCTTTGACGTGGGATGCTGTAGACGATGAGAGTGGGCCTGCGCTTTTTCTCAGCCAGCCTGAACACCTCCTCTGTCAGCCAGGGTCTCTGGGGAGGTCTGGACCGCGTACCCAAAGCAGCCATTGCAGCTGCATGAGCCACAGTCCTAAACCTCGCCCGTTTCCCCTCGACATCTGTAGTGGGGGACGATGCCAACCCCAGCCGCAAGCAATGATGACATTTCCGCTTGTAACTTTAATCAGCTAGCTGAGACCAGGCCACCTTGGGTTTGAATGGGGTCCTGGGTGTACACCCACCACCGGAGTGGAAGAATGGCAGGCACATCTTACAGATGATAAGTCGATGGTCAGTGGGCAGATCAGCTCCACAGTAGGTCCTGGTGTTAAGAAGATGGGCTTGCATCCGCTGTTCCGTCACTATGTAGTCCAGCAGATGTTCTTGCTTGGACCCTGCATGCATCCATGATGTTGTGTGGATGCGCTGATGCCAGAACAGCGTGTTGGTAATTACAAGCCCATGGGCTGCACAGAAGTCTAGCAGCCTCCTACCGTTGTTATTGAGCTGATCTGGCCCATGCCTTCCAATCACTCCAGACCAGGTGCCAGCATCATGACCAACTCGGGCATTGAAGTTGCCCAACAAGATGACTCTATCCCGAGGGGCCACTTTAGCTAGCACTTGTTACAGGAGGTCATAGAAGGAATCTGACTCATTGGCCTTGCCTGCATCCCTCCATGGATGTTCGTCTTCGGTGGAGGCATAAGTAACCACGACCACCACTCCTTGGCTCCGGTTGATGGGAAGGCGAGCCCAAAGTAGCCTGGGGCTTACCTCTTCCCACACCTCACCGCCATGTTCCCATGCCCCCTTATTATTATGTTCAGAAGAAGAGCCACTCCCTGTTGTTTGGCAGTCTCCTGCCCTGAGTAGAGGACTGTCCACCACTCATGGTGGCAGGAGCAAGAGCTGGTCCACCAGACCTCCTGATTACCACAGAGATCCAGGCGGTACCGGTCCAGCTTCCGACAAAGGAGTGGCAGCCTCTCCTCCGAAGTGAACGTTCTAACATTCCACGTGGCCACCCGCAGTGGTTTTTCGTTGTTTCTGGAGGAGCCCCGAGGGTAGAGATTCAATCTCCTGGCTCTGTCAAATGGGGTTTGGCCAGGAGACGTCATAGACGCCTGTCCCCTCGGGGGCTCCGGCACAAGCTTAATTAGATATTTTAGACGTGGTTTTGTGGTAATTAATTGAAGGTGGAGGGGTTACCAGCCCCTCACCTCCATCCAGAGCCCCATTTGGCCGCTGTGGTGGTTACAAATGCCATATGGGGAATGGCGGTCCGGCACCAACGAGGAGGTAGGGGGTTGTTTTTTTCTGGACAACACACACACACACCGGCACACACATGCAAAAAGACAAAGATCCCCCGTATAGCCTTAACAGACTGTTGGAGCAAGTGCTGTTAGCGAGCACCTAAGAAGGCCGGCATGGCACACGAGCGGGTGGGTGGCCAACACCACACCATTGTCTCCTCAGTTCTGATATTTAAACATCCCGCTCCAGACATTCATATTGAAGTTAAGTCAACCGAGGGGAGGCCCAGGACCGGTTCAAATGTTTGCTGTCACTTTTATTGGTCATGAGCTGGATTCAAACTCGGATCGCCAAGTTTATCACGCAGTGTGCTAACCACTATACCACCACTCCCCGATACACACGCACGCAAACACACAGACGCACAAACACACAGACGCACAAACCACACAGACGCACAAACACACAGACGCACAAACACACAGACGCACAACACACAGATGCACAAACACACAGACGCACAAACACACAGACGCACAAACACACAGACGCACAAACAACACACAGACGCACAAACACACAGACGCACAAACACACAGACGCACAAACACACAGACGCACAAACACACAGACGCACAAACACACAGACGCACAAACACACAGACGCACAAACACACAGACGCACAAACACACAGACCGCACAAACACACAGACGCACAAACACACAGACGCACAAACACACAGACGCACAAACACACAGACGCACAAACACACAGACGCACAAACACAACAGACGCACAAACACACAGACGCACAAACACACAGACGCACAACACACAGACGCACAAACACACAGACGCACAAACACACAGACGCACAAACACACAGACGCACAAACACACAGACGCACAAACACACAGACGCACATACACACAGACGCACAAAACACACAGACGCACAAAACACACAGACGCACAACCACACAGACGCACAAACACACAGACGCACAAACACACAGACGCACAAACACACAGACGCACAAACACACAGACGCACAAACACACAGACGCACAAACACACAGACGCACAAACACACAGACGCACAAACACACAGACGCACAAACACACAGACGCACAAACACACAGACGCACAAACACACAGACGCACAAACACACAGACGCACAAACACACAGACGCACAAACACACAGACGCACAAACACACAGACGCACAAACACACAGACGCACAAACACACAGACGCACAAACACACAGACGCACAAAACACACACACGCACAAACACACAGACGCACAAACACACAGACGCACAAACACACAGACGCACAAACACACAGACGCACAAACACACAGACGCACAAACACACAGACGCACAAACACACAGACGCACAAACACACAGACGCACAAACACACAGACGTGTGCGCACTCGCAGAGAGATGCACGAGTAGAAAAAAACGAACACGACTCCAAAACCGACCCCTTACGTCATGCATGGAGTCGAGCATCTTGGTGAGCTGGTAGAATCTCTTCCAGCCGTCGGCCGTGTTATTCTTGCTGATGACCACCTTGTTGAGCTCTCGGATGTAGTTCATGCGCATCTCGTTGAAGAACGCCTGCGTCTTGAGGCCCTCCTGGGGGACTGCGTCACAGGACGGGCGCCGCGTCACGTTGAGCCATCTGCGCCACCACCAACCACCACCACCAACTACTAACCACCACTAACCACCACCAACCACTAACCATCACCACCAACCACTAACCACCACCACCAACCACTAACCACCACCACCAACCACCACCAACCACTACCAACCACCTACCACCACCAACTACCAACTACCAACCACCACCACCACCACCAACCACCACCCACCACCAACACCACCAACTACCACCAACCACAAACCACCAACCGCCATCTACCACCAACACCACCACTCACACCACCAACCACCAACAACCACCACCAACCACCACCACAAACCGTCACCCACCACCAACCACCACCAAAACCACCAACCACCACCCACCACCACCAACCACCTACCACCACCACCAACCACCTACCACCACCACCAACCACCTACCACCACCAACCACCACCAACCGCCACCCACCACCAACCACCAATAACCACCAGCAACCACTAATAAACTACCTACCACCACCAACCACCATCACTCACCACCACCAACCACTAACCACTAACCACCACCACCCACCACCACCAACCACTAACCACCACCACCACCACCACCAACCGGCACCCACCACCAACAACCTACCACCACCAACAACCACTACCAACTGTCATTCACCACCACCAACCACCACCAACGCCACCCACCACCAACAACCACCTACCACCACCACCAACCGCCACCCACCAACAACCACCACCAACACCACCAACCACCACCAACACCACCACGAACCACCAACAACCACCACCCCCAACCACCAACCACCTACCACCACCGCCACCACTAACCACCAACCACCACAACCACCACCAACCACCACCAACCACTCGCACGGCTACACAGCCTCAGCAACTCTGGGCACGTGACAAGCGGTGGCCACGCGATGCGCCGGCGCACGTTGCCGGCCAGAGTGATGGAGTGCTACGGCGTGCCAGGAAAACGACAACTAAATCAACGTCATTGTGGTGTGCACGCTGGCTGGCATCGTGACGTGGCATCGCCCGCCAAATGAGATTTGCAACTCCGGGATATCCGTGACGTGAGCGGAATGTTTCTGGTACTGTTTTAAATGCGCCATAATACGGTTACGTAGTGTATAACGTACATTCAACGCACGGGAATGCAATGTGTAGTACGCAGAATGGTGTCTTAGCTGTAGAGCGGGCGGCTCGCAATTCGCGAGGTTGCGAGTTCAAATCCTCATCGTGGCCCGACTCAGCCCATCATCCCTAAATCTGTGCGCGGGAGTCAACTGTGGCTGTCCTATGGGTAGACGCCCCCACCTCCACCACCCACCATCATGAACATGAGGAATTTCTACCACTGGCTCCTGCAGGGCTGTACACTGCAGGATGATGAGCACTGATGCATCGATGCTCATTTGGTCAGAAGATCTCTTTGATCTTTGGATGTCTACTAACACGCAATGGAATAACCCTTCCGTCGCATATTTCATCAAAAAAGAAAAACGCTTCAAGCATTGCACCTACGATGCCCGACGTTCTCATCGTGGCTTCTCGTGATTCATCGGACATGCCTAAAGCTGAGATGTGCAAACGATGGCACCCTGACAGGATGGAGGTAATGGCACGTGCTTATATGCCCGTTATTCATCCCAGGAGCCTGACGATTGTCCCAGACTCCTCATCGATTGAGTGCCGCCAGCAGATGGCCCCCAGGTCCCCTCACCTGTGTTGAGGAGCATGATCGCCTTCATGCAGAGGAACTCTTCCTGTGTCACCTGCAGGAGGCCAAACTGTTTGAACACCTGCTGCATGCCCAAGCACAGCTCGTACATGGCCGACTGCTGCATGCGCTGCCTGTGAATGCACACAAAGACAAGATGCAAAGACAGAGATTCTCTGTATAGCATTCAACATCCTGAGGGCAAGTGCGATGAGTGACCACCTATTATGGCTGAGTCCAACTTCGGGAAAGCCCAGGACTCTGCCACTGATGTTAGCCTTGGCCGGGAATTGAATTCAGGTCGCAGGGTTTCTAGAGCTGTATGCGAACTGCTACACCACCACTCCACACACACACCCCTCCCTGAACATGGCAGCAGATTCCCGGGGAAAAAATGCTGTTGAAAAATGGCCATGGGTGCTGCGATATGCCAAAGGAAAAACACATACGACAAAGCTCCCCTGTGCAGCCTTAGAGAGACGGATGGGCAAGTGATGTCAGCATGCACCTATGAAGGCCGTAGACTGGCAATTGGGAAGATGTTGTGGCCGAGACTTTCACCCGGTTTCTTGTGTCTCCCCAAATTCTGATACCTACACAGCAATGTGGCGAATGCACATGCACCAACCTTTCATAAGCATTAGCCACGCAATGATATATCAAGCCATTGTAATTTATCATTACGCTCAAGACGCACACATCGAATCGTACGCGCGGGATGGATTATTTACACATTATTATAATTATTTTGAAATGATATGCCAATGCGAGGTTTAGGCTAAAGCAGAGAATGAGACTTTACACACGAGAGAGACAATGCGAACGAGACGGCAAAAACAAGACCAAAAAAATTGACAAAATCATTTGCATCAAATCGTGACCCCAAATCTTGACAATTCATTAAATCACTGTGTGGGTGAATCGTTGCACGGTTAACATTATTATTATTATTAAGCATGCAACTGCAACAAACACAGACAAACGGCAAGGATAGGCGTGCGGCCGCGTATTAAATCCATCTGTGGCTCGCTCGAGAGTTTGGGGCGAGTGCACGTGCCTCAGTGACCTAAGAGGCAAGGATGTTAAGGTCAAGCATAGAGAGAGAGAGGGGCAACCACGAGGGGAAGAGAAACGCTGTGCGGATGGCAGCATGGCTGTTCTCTCCACCATGGGCCCCAACTCCCCCGCATTTAATCACCGAAGAAATCAACAGATGTGCGCCGCTTCCCTCAAGGCTACAGCTAATGGATTAAAGTGGTCGACTGAATCAATCTCTTTTTTTATAATGCAGCAGAAAATCACCTTGTGTTGGACTAAACTATTTTTTTTTATCTTACACAGGAACGCCTCACTGAGTGCCAGGCTACTTTTTCTGCAGGACTGTCCATTGGGATGTTTGGCAGATCCTTGGGAGTTCACATGGGAGGAGGATAACACTCAGAGCACAGCACAGATGGATTCAAGAATCCATTGCCGTACCACCATCTCCTGGCCACCTCGCAGCCCAAACCTCCAACACCTGATATTGCCAGGCGGTCTCCCGTTCAACGACAAACCAGGATCATCCCGCTTAACCCCGGAGATCTGACAAGATCGGGCGTGTTCAGGGTGATTTGGTTGTAGGAATAATAAGCAAAATGGTAATGCCAGGGCTTTTGTGGCTGCACTGTATAACCCTCCGACGTGCGTTCACGTTGCACAGCCCGAGAACACGTCGGAGAGCCTCACGCGCGATCATATTCCAGTGTGTGGTCTGGCACAAGCCCACGTGGCACGGATGGACTTTCAGCCTCACCAGCATCCACAGCGTTGGGGAGACAGCGTGCGGTTTTCGTTCGAGAGCGACACTGCTCGTGGAAAGTGCAGGAATGCAAGGTTGCCTGGAGACCAAATGGTATTTGCAAGGTCGGGGTGACACGAGACTTCCCCTTAGGTGGAGCCAGGCGACACGGAGGTGTTTTGTGTCCTCGAATACGGCAAATGAGCAGCGTCTACCCAGCGGTGCAAAAGTGGAATTGAGAGAGTGCAGCTCTGCATAATAAAATACAAATCTGAATTTGCAAAGTGTCCAAATACAGGCGCATTTCAAGACGACGTGACACGAGGCAACCATGCACACATGATGAGTACACGCAATAGGAATGAAGTAAAATACAAACAAAAACTAAATCGCAAAAGCATGAGTTGGGCAGATTGGAAATAGTTTACATTTTTGCAGCAGCAGGAGGTTTATGGGGCTCATGGGTAGCATGAACGTGTGCCCAGTCAGCACCTCTGAGACACGCAAACTCAATCTGGATGAGATGAGAAATCGTCAGGCTCGTACTCTGGAATCTGCAAGGGCTTCTCAGACCAGCAGCACGATTTGGTGGTCTCAGCATAGTCACTTTACTTCACAAATTCCAGGATAAATTAGAGTGCCTGAGCTTGATGTGTCCCTAATCACGACAAATACAACCAGCCAGGAAATTCCCTGTTGGATGGCAAAGTATTTAGGTGACAGGGCTAAGGTCTATTGATTGGGGGAAGTCCCACGCTGCCCTATTGGCAGGATTGACCATTAATTCTGGGAAATCTCAGTGTAATTGTTGCCAGGCTAAGCTAATGAAGGTAGTTACAAAAAAAACGTTAATATACAGTAACAGGCATATTTTAGCGATGAGATATCTCGAGAAAAGCAGCATCCTACACTGCAGTAAGTGTGTGCTCGTCCTCACACAAACAACCACATGGCTATTGTGCAATAACAACTATAAACGCGCAATCCAAACAACGCCCACGATATTAATTGTTCCGCATGCGACAGTGGTTAAAGGAAATGGATACGGGGAAAACCACATGAATGACGGCATGAACCAATTGTAAAACAAGCGAGAGCTTACTTGAAACGTTCATTTTTTTGCAAAACGTGTGTCTTGGGTTACTTACCTCTTCATTAAAAATTCTATTTTTATTCTTGGAAATGGGTCACTCACCCAGAGGGCACTCTACGATCCACTGACATGCACTGGGGCTCTCTAAAATTCCCCTCGCCAGCAAATGCAGTTACTGTAATTGAATACACGGCTGTAGGGGCAACTCTTCCATTACCTTTACAGAGCACTGTGAGCGCCTGGCTGCGTTTTAGGGGCCTATAATAGATCATGCCACTCGTTCGAGCGGGAATCCCAGGCTGCGCCCTCTCAGGATGGATGTGCGCACACACACACACAGCGGTGCCAACCGCTGTGGGCGCAGGATTCCTCCCGGTTTCTCGACAGCACCTCACCTCACCTGGCAATGGGCAGCAGGGGTGACGAACGTTATAAAAGGAGGCTCGCGCAAAACGGTTATTTACGGAAGGGGCTGCTTGATGCGGCGAGGGTGTCACGCGCGATACGCGTGGCGTTAAACTGCCGCGCGTACTGCGCCGTTCAATGCACGGTTTGAAGTGTCTCGTGGTGGTGGTGGTGGTGATGGTGGTGGTGAGCTTCGCCGAAGAGAGAGAGAAAAAAATCGCCAGGATGCGCTGAATATCGTCATATCTCGGATGCTAAGGGGCATCCCATGTGGTGGGCAGCAGAGGGCAGTGCAGCGAAAATCCATGGTTGCCTTGTACCTCTATGCTTCTACGCCCATGCCCTCGGATTCTAACACACACTGGAGCAGCCTGGTGAAGTAAGGTCAAATAATCCCCATGACCTGCAAATGCGTGGAGACGCCCTCTCCCGGCCCGTGCACAACGTCGATATTCATCTCCCCGTGTCGGAGCCTATGAAGTCAATGTTTTGTTAAAGTACAAGAATAAACACTGAACCCAAGTGCTGTGTTATGCCTGCATGAAGGAAATTACCAAGTGGCTGGGTGTCTCAGAAATTAGAGCCCTAAAGCTCGTACCACTGTGACTCTGGGTTCTCGAGTATAGCGAGTTCACTCTCTCAGCCCAGTCGTCCTTGATTGCACACACAAAAACCATAACATTATATTCGGTATAATTTAGCTAAATTCTATTTTTGAACGTCATGCAACAAACGATCTCATAGCAGGGCGTGTGGGGAAAATTTGCCACCGACTGTGTAAAGGATATGAGAGAAAAAAACATGTCACTTTAAATGTTTTCAGGAGGATTAATGTGAAAAAAGTCTCTTCCCGTAGCCACTCTCGGAACAGTGCTCTGCAAAACTTCAGAATGGATTCTGCATCTCATGACGAGGTGCTGATGACAACATTGGGGAGGGGAGGGGGAATTGAGAGACCCCCCCCCCCATCCCAATTTTTGTGAGATAAAATATAAAGTAAATGCCATTCGCTGTTCCTTCCCCCAGATGTGGAAGGAAGATCCCCCTCACATTGGGGGCCTCCCACGGTAAACATTTTTTTTTTACCAAATCTCTACCGCAGCTCTTGTGGAAGCTCACGTGGTGCGCGCCACAGCCAAGGGCAGCATAGTAAATCTAAAGCAGCGACTACAATGCATTTTCCAAAGATGCTTGTTCCTTTATTCATTTGACTATTTAATTACTAATTTATATACTCGCTTTGTTATTAGCTTCCGAACGACTGCCCGCCCCCCCCCCCCCGCTTCAGGTTTTTTTTTTTTGCCAAAGATTGTCCCGGTGGGATTCCGCGCCAGGATCCGCGTGGCCAGACCCCGGCGGGCGAGTGAGAGCGAGAGAGCGTGCTGTGAGCCAACGTCCAAAAGTCACGTCGACCCGGATGCTTGCACCCCGTTTGAAAATGTTGCAATTTATAACGGCTCTCGCCCGACGCCAAGGAACCGTAACCCGGGGTCCGCGCCACGTGGCAGCCTCCCCGCCCCCCGTGGGGGGGGGGGGGGGGGGGCCGGGAGGCCTCGGCGGCATGCCCGGCACGGCGTGCTGTAATTATTTCAATATTTGCGGCACGGCGGCAACGCGCAATTAAGAAGAAAAAAAAGGCATAGCGCGCGCTCCCCCCCGATTGGGGCAACATTTTGCGAGAGCTCGCACGAGGAACACGGGGCGAGCACGCGGCGCGCGCGTCGGCGCGTTCGGAATTAAGGGCATGGATCGCTCGCGTTCAAACCGCGTGGCAGCGCAACCGAGGAGGAGCGGAGCGGGTGTGCCGTCCCGACGAAATGGTGTCACGCGTCCGACGGGGTTGCTTCCGGAAGCAA